CTGTTACCTTGACACACTTCCCACATCTTTTTTTAACTGTTTAAAAACAGATCTCTTAGAAGTGGTGAACACCTCACTTCTTTCTGGGACTTTTCCAAACTCCCTGAAAACTGCAGTTGTTTAGCCCCTCCTGAAAAAGAGCTATCTTGATAACACCATATTGAGCAACTATAGACCAATATCAAATCTTCCTTTTTAGGCAAGATTATTGAAAAGGTAGTTTATAATCAGCCGAACTACTACTTAAACTCAAATGGATACCTGGACAATTTTCAATCTGGTTTCCGACCGCATCACAGCACAGAGACGGACACTGAGCACTCATAAAGATAATAAATTATATTCGCATACATTCTGATTCTGGCAAAATATCAGTGCTGGTACTACTGGATCTCAGTGCTGCGTTTGACACTGTCAATCATAACATACTACTAGAGAGACTGGAAAACTGGGTCGGGCTTTCTGGGATGGTACTCAAATGGTTCAGGTCATACTTAGAAGGGAACGCAAAAATGCAGATTACAGTGAGTTACTTGCAATGTAAGCGAATGGGGCCAATCGTTGAACATTAAAATACTCACTGTTTCAACAAAACGTATGTTAACACCATTTTAATTGTGATAAAATACCTTTTTTCCAGTTTTACAACTTGATTTAAACAACAGCTCAAGCGATAAGCATACCTGCTCCTTGGATTTACAGCCACACACCCCACTTTCTATTTCCTTCTTCATCTTTATAACCCTGACTTACGGTTATTATAGTATATATACGGTATATATAGTATAGTAGTTTTCCCAGGGAAAGTCCCAGCATCCCTCTGGCGTCTCTGAACTGGCACTGGTATAAAGGTGATTCAAGGGAAGAGAATGCTGGAGGGTGAGGTGATAAAGACATATGGGTGAGTGTGGTAGATTGTCTTTAACTAAAACATTGGTGGTTATTTGATTATTGACTTTTTTAATTTGTCTACGCGTTTAGTTATTGTTTTATGCACTCGGAATTCAGAAACCTTACCATTTTAACTACTGCTTCAAGTTAATTATGTTGTTGGTGTGTTGTTTTTGCCCCACTTCAGTAGGAATTTAGAAGTGTAACACTAGATGTCGCTGTTGCCCATCATAATGTCTAAGGTAAGTAGCTAAGCCACCATCAAGAGTGAGAAGTGTACTACAAGATGATTTTTTTTTTTTTTTTTTTTTTTTTATTGAACAGTATCAATTTAATGCGTCAGTGAGGTTGTGATGCTGGCTTTTTCTTTTTCACATCCGTACTAGATCTGACGTAACAAACGAGCAGAGCAACAGCGGCCACGCCCACCACAGCATAAATCAGAGATGGAGTCACACTCAAATAACTGCTGGATAAGTCTGGGGAAAGAAAAGACAAATATTAGGCTAGCCTATATGAGGAATCAAATGGTCATTTCTAAAAGTCTTTTGCTCAATAAATGTTTGAATGAAAATTCTAAAATGTATTGTTCCAAAAAAGCACCTTTGAGAAACTCGACAGCATGAAAAGACAATGCAGAAAAGCTGAGCGGATGTGTCGGAAGACGAAACGTGAATTTCACTATAGCATCTATAAAGACAGCCATCATGCCTTCATTGTGGAACTAGGCACAGCTAGACAGACCTTCTTCTCGAACCTTATAAACAGTAACTTAAACAACACTCACACACTTTTTGCTACTGTTGAGCGACTAACAAACCCCTCAAGTCAGATTGCCAGTGAAATGCTCTCCGACAGCAAATTCAATGAGTTTTCTGCGAAGATCAATAATACCAGAAAGGCGATTAGCACATCCTCAATTTATGCAGAGGTCAGACAGATTTGACCACAATCTCAAAAAGCAGTTACTATGTCTGTTTTTGAAGCAAATGATAGCAAACTTTTGTAAGAAATAGTGCAACCTGTAGCAACCTGTTACCTTGACACACTTCCCACATCTTTTTTTAACTGTTTAAAAACAGATCTCTTAGAAGTGGTGAACACCTCACTTCTTTCTGGGACTTTTCCAAACTCCCTGAAAACTGCAGTTGTTTAGCCCCTCCTGAAAAAGAGCTATCTTGATAACACCATATTGAGCAACTATAGACCAATATCAAATCTTCCTTTTTAGGCAAGATTATTGAAAAGGTAGTTTATAATCAGCCGAACTACTACTTAAACTCAAATGGATACCTGGACAATTTTCAATCTGGTTTCCGACCGCATCACAGCACAGAGACGGACACTGAGCACTCATAAAGATAATAAATTATATTCGCATAAATTCTGATTCTGGCAAAATATCAGTGCTGGTACTACTGGATCTCAGTGCTGCGTTTGACACTGTCAATCATAACATACTACTAGAGAGACTGGAAAACTGGGTCGGGCTTTCTGGGATGGTACTCAAATGGTTCAGGTCATACTTAGAAGGGAAAGGTTATTATGTGAGTATAGGAGAGCATAAAAGTCTAAGTGGACGTCCGTGACATGTGGAGTCCCACAAGGCTCAATTCTTGCACCGCTCTTGTTAAGCCTGTATATGCTTCCACTAAGTTTCTTCCACTTGGAGAAACTTGTTGACTTTATCACCAGCAGGGTCGACTATTGTTATGGTCTCCTTACCGGCCTTCCCAAAAAGACCATTAGACAGCTGCAGCTCATCCAGAACGCTGCTGCCAGGATTCTGACTAGAACCAGAAAATCTGAGCATATCACACCAGTCCTCAGGTCTTTACACTGGCTTCCATCAAACACACCTGAACAAGCTAATCAATGTCTTCAAGATTACTAAGGCTATAGGCAGGTGAGTTTTTTTCAGGGTTGGAGCTGAACTCTGCAGGACTGCGGCTCTCTAGGACCGAACTTGCCTACCCCTGGCCTAGGACCTCAATACATTGCAGATATGCTCACTGAATAGTGAAGCCTAACAGACCACTCAGATCATTAGGATCAAGTCAGTTAGAAATACCAAGGGTTCACTCAAAACAAGGGGAGTCCGCTTTTAGTTATTATGCTGTCCGCAGTTGGAAACAGCTTCCAGAAGAGATCAGATGTGCTAAATCAATAGCTACATTTAAATATAGACTCAAAACACATCTGTTTCGTTTGCTTTTAATCTGTTTAGTGCTTTTACTGAATGAGCACTGTGCTACGTCCGAACTGATTGCAGTGTATTTTATGTATCTTCATTTTCTATTCTTAACTGTTTTAATTTAATTTTAAATCAATTTTTGAAAATCATTTTAGAATTTAATTCCTTGCTTTTATTATTGTGATTTTTTTTGTTTACTTATGTAAAGCACTTTGAATTACCATTGTGTATGAAATGTGCTATATAAATAAACTTGCCTTGCCTTGCCTTGTTCTGACTGTGAATGTTCACATTTTGCAGAGACAGTGCCCACTTAAATTAGCGAGAAAGAACGAGCAGCAGCATAGAGAAGTCTTGTTATTATTTAGTTTTTTTACCAATAGAGGGCACTAGCTTCAACTTTTATTATAATTAGTTGTTTGCACTATTTATTGATTTTTTTCAGGAAAGTGACACCATGGTGTCATCATCAGCTTCATTTGTGACTATTAAGTGAGTCATAACGTTGTTGTGTCAATGTTGCTTAATTCATTAATAAAAAATATTCATTCATTAACATTTGTGAACCAACAAATGGGTTTTAAACCGGTTTAGAAATTAGTATAAATTACATAATTTTTGTTTTTGGGTGAATTGCTCCATTAAAAGAAAGATCACTGATGTAGGCTACCTGGACATACCTATACAGAGTCCACTGATGTCCAGATGTTGAGTCTGGTTGCTGATGGGATTGTTGAGCACACAGCTGTAGGTGTTTTTATCCTGATATTCCACCTCCAGAGGTAGAGAGAGACTGATGCTGAGATCAGACACACTGATGCTGGACAATAAACTGTTTCCTTTGTACCAGGAGAGAGTCACATGACTCACATTCACCACTGAACACAGCAGTGAACATGTGGACACTGATGATTCTGATGAGGAGGAGGGAAAAGAGTCTGTGGTAATGACAGGAACAGGCAGACGAGCTGGAAAACATGTAAATTAATATATAAGTATATATATAAGTATATTGCCGTAACATGGAAAAACTCTGACAAAAGGGAAAGTAGGATATTTCCCTGCATTTCCCTATGCAGTGGATGTTTATAATATTATTAATACCACAGACACCAGAATTGAGCTACACAACATTACCACCATTGATGGCAATGGCAGATCCAACAATGAAGTCTGCATTACATATTTGTTTTAAGAAAGATGAATTCATTAAGAAAGGCCACTAGGCTATAGTTTGCTGGCATGAAATACAAGTAGATGTGAAATACATTTTATTTGTAACAATTCTAAGCATCACATCCAGTTATACATATACGTTTTTAAGTCATATTTGTCTCACCATAGACAGTAACATTGAATGTAAGCTCTGTGGTTAGAGCTCTCTCATAGACCTTCAGTCCACAAGACCACTTTCCACTTCATGCTAACTGTGTTAAAGTTTATATCGTTTCTCCAGTAGAATGCAATAGTGAGAAAGGGACTTAAAGGGATAGTTCACCAAAAAAAATAAAATTCTGTAATTAATTGCTGACACTCGTGTCGTTCCAAACCCATACGACCTTCGTTCATCTTCAGAACTCAAATTATGATATTTTTGATGAAATCCGAGAGCTTTCTGACCCTGCATAGACAACAACGCAACTACATTCAAGGCCCAGAAAGGTAGTAAGGACACCGTTAAAATAGTCCATGGTTCAATATTAATTCTGTTTCAATTAGTAATGATTTTAATAACTAATCTTAAATAAGCACTTTTTAATAAAAATAATTTTTTGAAAGTCATACTAGATTGAAAGTCGTATAATAACAAGGGTTGTGCAAAAACTTTTTTGTATTGAATTTTTGTTTTGTATTGTTTTTAATGAAAATTTTAAATAAGCAATTTTTTATAAAAACAGATTCAAAGCATTATAATTCACACTCTGACTACATATAAAGACAGACAGTGTATAGAGACAATCCTTGTACTCACGTGGAAAGCGAACTGTCCAGAGTAGTCGTACATCCCGCAGGAGTGCATGAGACTCAACGTGTTTCGTACGGCTTCTGTGCTCAGAACTCTCTCTCCTGTGATTGGACAGATGCCTCCATTAGCCAGTGTAGCGGCCATTATGCTGCCAGATTCACATGTGACCTCTATGGCGCACAACTATGAGGGACAGAAAGAAAAATTCTGATGGAGCGTTCAGTTTATTTAGCGTTCGATTTAACAATGGAAAAATGTCAACTGGGCCTACCTGGAAATAAAAGTCCAGTGCGTCTATCATATCCGCCCCTTCAGGAAAACACTGTAAAGGAGGACATCATGGTTGCATTTGCAGACGATCAACAATATCTTGCTAGTTTGCTAAAGATGCTAAAGAACAAACCTTCTTCTCTTTTAGGTAGTATCCTATTGCGTAGTTTCTGTCTCCTGTTTCCTTCTCAGACTGAAACCTGGTGAAATGAAAACAAGTCAATAACAATAGCATTGGGTGCAAAATAAGTGTAAACTGAACAATGAAAGACATACGTTGCGTTGCTGAAGCCCACATACTCCCTGCCTGTCATTTTCTTCACAAACTCCATCACCTGTGAAATATACAATAATCAAATATAAATTCGATATGCTGACAAGCTGTATTAGGTTTTATCTAATAAAAATAAATAAATTTCAATTATACTATACTGTTTATTGACTTTACTTATAAATGATTACATAAATGATGACACCATGTGTGTTTTGGTCCGGACTTCTCATGACCGAATCAGATTTCAGAAGAAACATGTAGGGGGTTGATAGTAACTGAGCCTATAATATGCAACTGAGTAAATGTAGCAGCTCCCAGCTGTTGCCCATACATATATATATATATATATATAGACTTGGAAAACTGCTAGTGCAAAGAATTTTAAATCTTATTAAACCTTTATTGGATATGATACTGTATGTATGTGTCAATGAATAAACTCACAGAAATGAAATGAGACACAGGAACTTTCTCTGCTCCTTCGGTTATAGTGTAGAAAAGCATGTCCTCCAGTCCACAAAACAGACTGGTCACGTGTCTGCTTTAATAAAATAAAATGACACATAGGCTACTAACACCAAACATATTGTATTTTAGTTTATTTTATTATACATGACTATTTTTATATACTATTTCATTTATTGTAGAAGTGACTCACTTTTTTGATGTAGGTTGTTCCGCGGAAGACGGGCTTGAGTGAGCGGAGGCCGGTGGCCTTGAGAACGGTGCGGCCGGCGGATTCGACGAAGGAGCGACCGGCAGCCGTGCAGCAACCACATGTGACGACCCCTGGCTGGACTCCGCTTCATCCACGGTGAAAGCCGATCCGGCGATCCACAGCGCGAAGTTGATGTATTTCCTCAGCGACCAGCTCGGATCAGCTCCAGGCATGACGAACGGATATCGTCCTCTTTTGGAAGGCCAAACAAAGTAGTTTCGCTTTCACAACTAAACACACATCATCTCCACAACATGGCGCCGGCGGTAACAAAAATACTACAGCGAGAATAAAAGTTACGCCTTCATTCTTTGCGTGAACATTTGGGCGGCGTTATGCAAATCTTCCCACATAGTGACGTAGACATGTGGGGGCGTGTTTAAACAAGCGATTTTAGGTAGGCGTGACTGACTCTTAACTTTTATAAAGAATATCTCTTTGGATTTGAGACTTTAGTCTTTGCAAGTTTACAGATCTTCTTTATGCACCAAGAGCTTGTAACACTCCAAAGAGAAAGGAAAAATTTAAATCGCATCATATGACCCCTTTAAATAGACGTCTCCGAGACGTACATGTGCTATCAGGGTTTACATCATGGTTTACATTTGCTCATATAAGTCTATAGGACGTTTCCTATCAGATGTCAAATAGACATTTAGAAGATGTCTTTTAAGATGTTTATGATTTAGAATGTATGTAAAACTGACATCTTAAAGATGTCTGTCAGATGTTTGTTCACATCAGATGCTTTCCAGATAAAGCTATCTCTAACAGACCTCTTGCAGAGGTACGTGTGCTATCTAGGTAGTCTTCTCTATAAAATATGAAGTGTGTATATTTAATGGTTTTTTATATTGTAAGCGTCGGAACAGCTCTTTTCGATGACGTGACCAAGAGATAATCAATCTACTGGGTTCTCTCATGCGCGACTTTGATAACTTATGAATCAGGTCAGGGAAAACGGTTGAATAATTCCTTCGTCATGGGACAAACTGTTAATGAATAATTCTTGTTTACTAAGAAGTATTTGTTGTTAAATTGTCTCAACTCACCAAAAGGTGGAAGATCATGACCTTCAAAGTACAGTATTGAAAAAACACAACAACAAAAACCAGTCAAAGATGGTTTTATGCAAGTTCAGCTAGAACCAGTAAACCAGCATATATGCTGATTTTAAGCAGGTTTTTTTTCTTTCTGGGAAGAGATTGGTGCACAGATGGCAGTGCATAGAAAATATTCTTATAACATTTATTGAATTATGTTTATACAGTTATATTAACTTAATTAGCAGTAACGCTGACCGTTTCATACAAATATAACATCAAAGGCCACTCTAGCAACACATCTACATTAGATGACCAAACTGGTGATGCATTTTCAAGGCACATTTTAATTACGTTGCATAATGGTTCATAAATATACAAAATTACTGATAGTGTCCAGTTACCAGATAACTTTGCATCATAAATACACTATTAAATTTACAGACACATAGTGTTTGTAAACTCTACTTAGTAAGACCCCAAAATAGAGCATCATCCAGTGTATCATAAGAGGAAAATTAAAGGTTAAGAGTTAAACATATCTGACCTACAATCACTTCCCAATCTAGACACTTTTTGCTGGCTTTGGCAACACCAGCTTCAGGGCAATATCTACAATGCAAGCAGGCATATAAGACAAGGGAATCCACAAGAGCTTGGCATCCCAGCCTGCACTGTAGCGTGTCCTTGGGTGGACGGCCAGCAGGGCGTGTTCCATGCAGTTGGTCACTTTACTGAGGTCGGAGTCACATATGGTGTTCATGATCAGCCTCTGGATCTTGATATCTGGAGAGACAAAGAGTGTCTAAATGGACTATACTCTTATAAATAAATGTACGTTATTAGCATTGATGGTTCTATGAAGAACCTTTAACATCCATGGAAACTTTTTCAGTGCGCAAAAGGTTCTTATTGTAGAAAAATTAAATGATCTTCACACTATGGTTCTTTTAAGAATTCTTCAACTGAAAGGTTCTTTGGGGAACCAAAAACGGTTCTTCTACTGCATTATGGAATGTTTACAGTTAAGACTATATGTTTGGAGAAATGGAGAAAAGTAGTTGTTGGCATAAATAACATACATTTATCCAAGTATTTGTCTCCATAACTCTCCTTCACTTCAGGCGTCAGTTGGTTCCAGAGGCGATGAAGTTCCCTCTCGATAGGTTCCAGGCTGGTCACCTGTGTCTTGAAGAAACCAGGTTCGATGATGCACACATTGACCCCAAAATTCTGGATGTCCCTCCTGAAATTGAATGCAAAATCAAGAGGTTTTCTTTAAAGACTAAAGGTAAATGGTTTCAAAGGTCGAAACAATACTACAGCCACATAAAAACCATTGTATTTATTGACGTGTGATACCTGAGACAATCAGAGAAGCTCTCCACCGCAAACTTTGAGATGCAATACCCTCCGCCGTTAGCTGCCACTCTTCCCAACACTGATGCCACGTTCACCACTCGTCCACGGGCTTTTTTGACAAGAGGAAAGAAGTTCATGGTCATCTCGATAACACCAGTCATGTTGACTTTGAGCGTGTTTTCGAAGTCTTCGATTTTCATCCACTCTGATGGACCCATGGGAAGGGAGCGTCCGGCGTTGTTCACGAGTCCCCATAGTCCTGGGAAGTTGGGAGCAAAGATGTCACACTTGTATCTAAAACTTATTTTAAGATCTCACCTGAAACACACCTTTATCTTCAACTTCTTTTTTGGTCCATTCCAAAGCCTTCTGAATGCTAGCTGTGCTGGTCACGTCCAAGATGCAGGTCTTCAGGAAAGGTCCCGTCGCCCTTTTCAGATCATCTGCACCCTTTTCCGTGAGACACCCGGCTAGGACACGGAAACCACGTTTGTCCAGGCGTTTGCACAGTAGGTGTCCGAACCCAGAGTCGCAACCTGTCACAAAAACGTGTTTCTCCGAGACCTTGGTGATCTCCAGGTTGTCCCGGTAGAACCACACCAGAACCCACAGCAGCACGAATGCACCCAAGACGTATGTGCATGTACAGTTGTTACTGTAAGCACAAAATGCATACAAAATTGACATATTTATGAGTTTTGTTGGTTTATTTGCTTGTTTTGATAGTATTTTAGTCAGACACATTCTTACCTCAAGTACTCGTACATCGTTTCTGCCTCCTGAGTGATTCTGCGAAGATGTTTTGTAAACAATTGCTTTTTGGTAGAATGCCAATGACATAAAAGAAAGAAAAACATAATGCAGGTGTAATTATGAAGCATCAGAGCACCATAATCTAACAAACACCAGTTCAAAAAGGTATTGTGAACTTATATAAAAACTTCTTTAAATATTTAAATAAAATGATGTAATATGGTATTTTCATGCTTATTGAACATTATTGACCCATGTACACAGCTTCTCTTTGGTTTTAGATTATGTAGTCACAGGGCGCTAACATACGTAACACGTAACATACGTTTTTCAGAGCACATGAGAAATCTTGAGCTAAGGCTCTTATGAAACAAAGGGAGACTTGGGCATCAATGTAAAGGTTTAGAGAATGCTGTAAAATTGAAAATCCAGCACCACAGAAGCACTATAAGCTTCTCAGAGCTCAAAACCTATTAGCTACAGGGACTAATTAGCAAAGAGAAATGTTGAAGATTCATCTCTGTTACCACATAACAAATCGGACAAAACAAACCATTTAAGACCCTATTTGCACATTATGCTTTGAGGAATGTATGCTAATTAATTATCAAACAAACGTGCTTTTAGAAAAGACTTTTATCAAAGAATGATTCATGTGCTTTCCGATAATAAATGCATAAAAGTGTATGCATACAATATTTTACAATAATTTTTTAGATTATGTGACGAAATTGCTAAAGAATTGTAATTATTATTAACTTAAACTTTTAAACCAATCATACCATAGTCCAGTAACTAAACTGAAGACCCTTACGTTAAAGAAATTACCTTATTTGTAACAAAAATCATAGGACATCAAATTATTACTCAAATTAACCTGATTAATAATTCAAAATGAATACATTTTACATGTTCGCAAGTAAAAAAATGTTTAGTAAAACGTTGTAATTTTAAAAGAGAATCTAAAACCAATTAATCCTCTTTTTAATACTATAAATGAATACTTATTTAAACATACACATTTAAGTAAATGTTAATGCACATTGTAAAAATAAGAAATTCTGTTATCAGTTAAAGTAGTCAATTATCAGACTTACTTTTTTCCCTTCTTGGCTCTGGAGCTGGAGGTCCTGAGCGCGTTTGGTGAGTGATCTGAAGTGGGTCTGCGTCTCAGATTTATCCCTAAAGCTGATCCTCTCAGACAGGGCCGCAATTTCTAATCTCCAATCTCACTGGATTGGCGTTTGGGCATTTTTGTGTGCTTGTGTAAGCGTCATCCACAAATAGCTGGGCTGGGAGGAACTTTTAAGGAGAATCATGCCAATTCATTTTATTTTTAGGTTGTTTGAATTAGTTTTTGGGAGGTTGACGGGAAACTTCAAGCAATGGCAGAAGCGTCCAGTAATGCGAAATTAGTGTGACATTTTTGTTTACAGCAGTTTTAAACCATTTCTATTTTTGTTCAAATGATTATACGTGAAGACCTCATAATAATGGAAAGACTACATGGAATATTAGTATGTATCAAATATTAATAATAATAATAGAAATTAGAATATACAATTATATAGAAATACAAATGTAATTAATAATATTACACAATATAGAAATTATTTTTATTGAAATATATACAAATAATTTATCATATGGATCTAGGAAGATAATAGTTTTTTAATCAGTATTTGTTATAAATTCGAAGTTTACGTTTAGTTAACGTTTTCGTAATGCGTGTTTTTGTGATTTTTATTAGTTTATATATCTATATAGATTTTATTATTTCATAGTAATTTTTTATTATATTTTTATTTTAGTACATCAAGTTGAACTCAATCAAAATCAGAAAACTAGCTGAAATAAAATAAGTTATAATTTTATTTATAATATATAGTAATAGTTTTTTGTTGTTGTTTTTATTTCAGCTTTTAGTTCAAGTAAGGATCTTTTTTTGTTGTTGATGATTTTAGTTTGTTTAACCCGGTTTAATTTTATGGTTTTAGACTGATAACTCTGAGAGAGAGAGATATATATATATATATATTAGGGGTGCAACTGTTCTCTGTAAAAGACTGAACCATACCGTTCGCCACCCTCGGTTTGGTACGCATTTGTACCGCAAATAATCTCAGTTTTAAAAAAGGTTATGGATGATATGTTTTGGTGAAAAAACAAACCTTCAAATACACATTTGGAGTGACAACTTTCACTATTGCACAGCACAGGTGTTGCTGTTGTGTCTGCGTCCGTGCATCTTTCTGCAACCACACAGCCAAAATGCTAGAGAAACTTGAACCGTTACACCCCTAATATATATATGTATATATATTCCATATGAGTTTCAAAATTATATACAGGTATGCTTAAAAATCATGATAAAAATGGTCTTGAAGACCTAAAACAACAACTAGAAAATCAAGCTAAAAATCATATGCAGTCCCATGGGGCAAACATGTGAAATCTGGACTTAAACAGCCACATTCTACTCTTTCTTTTCGTTGTCTTAGTTTAACGTTTTACTCTTTCTCCTTATGTTAATCCTGAGGCTGAAAGACCTTGTTGTATATGTGGATTATGTAGCGTCACAGTGTGTGCACGGCTTAACATGGGTTAAGTAAAAATTAACAAACCGTGAAATCCCACAAAAACGTATAAAACTATTTCAGCTCACTGTTACGTCTATAAAAGCTAAAAAGGGGCAGGGAAATTGTGTAATTCTGGTACTATACGTTCATTACTGAGGCTGAATGGAAAACACTTGTTAAACGCTGGTCAAAGTTAGAAGCAGGACAGCGAATCTGTACATGGGAACTTTTGGGGGTAAAATGTGATATAAAACATTCCAACTTATGGCACAATAGATATTTTTTATTATGCAAGCAAATTAATATTATGTAAAACGAAAATAAAAATAAAACAAATCAGAAATAAACAGCTGCTCCAGCAATTCTTTACTGGAATAAATGAGACACAAATGTCTCAAATAACAGTGTCCAAGTTTCACCAACATCTGGAGGAAAAGCCTGTCCATTTTGGACCATCAGAGTCCATCTGCTCATGAAGTCGTGGGCTGAGCCGGGCCTTTGTGCACATACTCCAGAGCTGTCGCGATTGTCCGCATGTCCATCTCAATGCTTCGCGCCCAGTTCTCCACATCTCCGATTTCCTGTAAAGGAATAATCTGCCATTAAATCTGCACATTTCCCCAAAAGCAACACTAAATTAGCCATCATTTCAATCCCGCATTAATCGATATTTAAAAAAAGCTTGTGTACTTTTAAGGCCTGGTTGAAGTTCTCCACCATGTTGATCCACTGAGCCGTCTGCTTGGCAAACTGACTGGCCTGAACCTGCAGCGTCTTCACCTCATGGTCCAGCTTGCGCTGGTTGACGTACGCCTGCGCCACCCTGAACATAGAAACTTATACTCTACAATGTCTTAAAGGAATAGTTCATCCAAAAATGAAAATCTGCTGAATATTTTCTCACCCTCAGCCTATTCAAGATGTAGATGAGTTTGTTTCTTCTTGGGAACAGATTTGGAGAAATTTAGCATTACGTCACTTGATCCTCTGCAGTGAATGGGTGCCGTCAGAATGAGAGTCCAAACAGCTGATAAAAACACCACAATAATCCACAGCCCTCCAGTCCATCAGTTAATGTCTTCTAAAATGAAAAAGCTGCATGTTTGTAAGAAACAAATACATCAAGACGTTTTTAACTTCAATCCATTGCTTCGGGCCAAAATACGAGTCCATAATGAGTGCATAATTCATATTAACATTTCCTCCAGTGAAGAAGTCCATCCCCCGTTGTCCTCTTACATAAAAATTCAACAACATATTTGTTTAGAACCGTTTTTGGCTTGTAAACAGTGCTTGATCTGTGCATATTTCTCTCCTGATTCAGACAAGATGACTTTTTCATTGGAGAAAGCAATATTATGATTAGAGAACTCGTGTTTAAGCTAAAAGTGGCAGTTTAAATAAAAAAATGTGTTAATGATGGATTTGTTTCTTAAAAACATGCAACGTTTCACTTCATAAGACATTAATTAATGGACTGGAGTGGTGTGGATTACTGTGATGTTTTTATCAGCTGTTTGGACTCTCATTCTGACGGCACCGATTCACTCTCATTCTGACGGCACCCATTCACTCTCGGAACCCATTCACTCTCATTCTGCCGGCACCCATTCACTCTCATTCTGCCGGCACCCATTCACTCTCATTCTGACGGCACCGATTCACTCTCATTCTGATGGCACCCATTCACTCTCGGAACCCATTCACTCTCATTCTGATGGCACCCATTCACTCTCATTCTGCCGGCCCCCATTCACTCTCATTCTGACGGCACCGATTCACTCTCATTCTGATGGCACCCATTCACTCTCGGAACCCATTCACTCTCATTCTGACGGCACCGATTCACTCTCATTCTGATGGCACCCATTCACTCTCGGAACCCATTCACTCTCATTCTGACGGCACCGATTCACTCTCATTCTGATGGCACCCATTCACTCTCGGAACCCATTCACTCTCATTCTGACGGCACCGATTCACTCTCATTCTGATGGCACCCATTCACTCTCGGAACCCATTCACTCTCATTCTGACGGCACCGATTCACTCTCATTCTGATGGCACCCATTCACTCTCGGAACCCATTCACTCTCATTCTGACGGCACCGATTCACTCTCATTCTGATGGCACCCATTCACTCTCGGAACCCATTCACTCTCATTCTGACGGCACCGATTCACTCTCATTCTGATGGCACCCATTCACTCTCATTCTGCCGGCACCCATTCACTCTCATTCTGACGGCACCCATTCCCTCTCATTCTGACGGCACCCATTCACTGCAGAGGATCCACTGGTGAACACGTGACGTAATGCTACATTTCTCCAAATCTGTTCTGATAAAGAAAGAAACTCATCTACATCTTGGATGGCCTGAGGGTGAATACAATTTCAGCAAAATTGTCAGTTTTTGGTGAAATATTCAGTTTCCATTCCAGCACTCTTTGCTTTAATTTGTCTGTTGCAAGAACAATGTTCTGTTGCATCCAACCATGCAACTCTAAGCTGCTTTCGCAGAGTTTCATCATAACGTCCACACAAAGACTGGGGTTATGACCCAAGTGATCACATGAACTGACCATATAATCCTGTGCACCTTTACAAACATATAAAACCTGTCCGACTCACCCTACATTGAGATGGTCCACCAGAGCTTCTGTTAAACATGTTGCAGCTGCTATGGCCTCTCGCCTTCCTCTTTCTGTACCGCATAGAAGCATTGATCAAGAAAAAGCAATGATTTCATTTCCCTTGATTTGTATAGACTCATTCACTTTATTTTGAAGTTGATCGAATTTGTTTTGGGTGGCTGACAGGAAAATTCAAGTAATGAAAATATAATTATATAATTATTTATATATTATATGTGTGTGTGTGTGTACACTAATCTTTGCTTAATAATAATTTATTCGTTTTTTTATTCTTAAGTTTACTTATTTCTGTAGT